CACTTCAAGAAAGCTGAAGTTATTAATAAATGGAAACCTAAATTAAAAGTGGTAAGTATACTTCCCACGGCCTTCGAAAGGGTTAAACAACAATTTCAACTTTGGAAATGCATGGTAAGGTGAGGTACCTCTGTATCCTCTTAGATAGTTACACTAAATTAAATTTTGTCTTTTACAGCACGACTATTCAATTAGACGAATGAGTTAAATATCTTTAATAGGGTTAAATAAATAATCCCATTAAATTGAAGCGGTGAGATTAAAAACTGCATTTGCCTCAAAAATAAATAAACAGCAAATAACAGTCTACACAATTCAAGGGCTTCGAAAATAGATGCTCTTTTTCTAGACTCGCCAGACGTGGTTTCCCCTGTTTTGTTTTTCCTCTTGGTTACTGTGGATTTTTTCTATTTTGTTATCTCACGTTTATTTTTCATTTTTTCAGTTCGGGTTTCTTTGTTTAAAAAGGTTTTTTCCCCATTTTTTTTATACTTGATTCAAAACCTTAGTCGTTTAAAAAAATACAAGCTGGAAATAAGAGTTGACTTGTTTCACGCCTTCAAAAAGCACCCGCTTTGTTTTTAAAGTTATTTTGAGACCTGTTAATAAAATTAAAGTATCTTAAAGATACTATTAGTTTCGATAATCTCTGCGGTATTTACCACATTCCTTGCTGGAGCCTTTACTGCATATCAGCTAGACGCGTTTCTAAATTTAGGCATAAGGAACAAGATAGATATTTCCGTTATAGATAAGTCAAAAATATGAGAAGTCATTAATTGCGGCACATTGTTTGAATCTTATTCAAAAATTCAATTTCGGCAATGCTAAAACTATTTCCACCGCAGTCACATCTACTCATGTTGAAGCACAGGAATCTTGTTTTATTTTTAAAACTACTGATTCTATTACTAATTATATTATTTCCGCACCAACCTCTCGGTAGCTCGTGGAAATGCATCTTACCCTAATTGTCACACCACTTTACAGTCACCATTTTAAAATTAAGGAACTTTATACCTTAATAATTAGTAAACACATTATTTTAAGAATATTAAAATTATATAACAATAGTGTATTGTGTATTTTAAATGCTGTAGTGCTGATATGAAATCAAACAGCATTTAAAATACTCGGAGTGCAAAGGATTAAAATAAGAAATATCTTTTAAGATAATAACTTTTAAATAAGAACTTTTAAATAACTTTTAATCTAAGAAGTAATTTTTAAGGACCATGAGAACCTAGTCGAAAATGGGCGTTTACTTTTGGGCATCTCTGTGTAAATAAATAAAACTATTTTTGTGTGTTCTATATTGCATTAATTTCTTCAAACCATTTTAGTAACGATAATAATATGAAAATATTAAAAATTTAATCGAATTATCTAAATAGTTAATAAAATTTATCGAATTTCTAATAATCTTGGCTCCACCGGTCTATGGTGACGTGTTAACATTCTTGTCTTTGGCATAAGGTATTTCACAGAAATAACAATAATAAAAATAAATTGCTCTTAACACTTTTACGCAGACGAGACTCCGATGTCTCTTTTACATAGGTTTTATCTCATGCATATGTTTTATCATGTGCCCTCTTAAAGGAAAAAAATATTTTTAACTACAAAAAACAGTCTTATAGTTGCTAGAAAAATATCTGTTAGATTATCGGAATTACATTTGTACTAAAATATAAAATCCTAAAAAATAGTTTAAATAAATTATTTTTCTTTCGTGTTCAAAAATGTATTAATTATTGATTTTGTAAATTAAAGAAATTCCAACTGTGAATAACAGTTTCTCTTAGACCTAATAACTACAAATAAGAACTAATTTGAGAAATTAGTGTTTGAAAGTGAGTTATGATAGGAAGATTTTATTGAACGTAGGAAAAGACAGCGGTATTTCATGCAGTATTTCATAAGTATAAATTATTTGAATGCTNACAATTGTATTGCAAATATCTCGCGGTGATAGTGGGAGTAATCATTCTTATTCTAAAAGTTTTACTATTAATTTCGCTGCCAATTTAATAAAACTTTTGCAGAAACAGGAGCATTTGGCATTCCTGGTAATGATTACAATTAAATAGACATATAGAAACCAAATCATAAAGAAAGTAAAAAACAAATTGGTTCCTTAGAAAGTCGCCAAAAAGCAGAGTTAACCCTTTCACGGGGCATTTATTTCTAGTAAAGGTAAAATAAAGTATTTTTGGAATTGAAATTGTTTTAAGAATAGTTATTGATATAAGAAAAAAAACTTATTTAATTTATAAAAATGTAATTTTTTTGGTGGTAAATATATTTAACACTACCTATTGACTTTTATTTTTCTTTATTTATAAAATAAATTTTATAAATGCTACAAACTTCAAAAGGAATTATGTATTTTATAACTTTTATACTTTTTTTTAAACTAACAAATGGTTACCAATTTTATTCAAACCCACTTCAAGAAAGCTGAAGTTATTAACAAATGGAAACCAAAATTAAAAGTGGTTAGTATACTTCCCACGGCCTTCGAAAGGGTTAAACAACAATTTCAACTTTGGAAATGTATGGTAAGGTGAGGTACCTCTGTATCCTCTCAGATAATTACACTAAATTAGATTTTTTTTTGACAGCACGACTATTCAATTAGACGAATGAGTTAAATATCTTCAATAGGGTTAAATAAATAATCCCATTAAACTGAAGCGGTGAGATTAAAAACTGCATTCGCCTCAAAAATAAATAAACAGCAAATAACAGTCTACACAATTCAAGGGCTTCGAAAATAGATGCTCTTTTTCTAGACTCGCCAGACGTGGTTTCCCCTGTTTTGTTTTTCCTCTTGGTTACTGTGGATTTTTTCTATTTTGTTTTCTCACGTTTATTTTTCGTTTTTTCAGTTCGGGTTTCTTTGTTTAAAAAGGTTTTTTTTCCCCATTTTTTTTATACTTGATTCAAAACCTTAGTCGTTTAAGAAAATACAAGCTGAAAATAAGAGTTGACTTGTTTCACGCCTTCAAAAAGCACCCATTTTGTTTTTAAAGTTATTTTGAGGCCTGTTAATAAAATTAAAGTATCTTAAAGATACTATTAGTTTCGATAATCTCTGCGGCATTTACCACATTCCTTGCTGGAGCCTTTACCGCATACCAGTTAGACGCGTTTCTAAATTTAGGCATAAGGAACTAGATAGATATGTCCGTTATAGATAAGTCAAAAATATGAGAAGTCATTAATTGCGGCACATTGTTTGAATCATTGTTTCAAAAATTCAATTTCGGCAATGCTAAAACTATTTCCACCGTAGTCACATCTACTCATGTTGAAGTACAGGAATCTTGTTTTATTCTTAAAACTACTGATTCTATTACTAATTATATTATTTCCGCACCAACCTCTCGGTAGCTCGTGGAAATGCATCTTACCCTAATTGTCACACCACTTTACAGTCACCATTTTTAAAATTAAGAAATTTTATACCTTAATAATTAGTAAACACATTATTTTAAGACTATTAAAATTATATAACAATAGTCTATTGTGTATTTTAAATGCTGTAGTGCTGATATGAAATCAAACAGCATTTAAAAGTACTCGGAGTGCAAAGGATTAAAATAAGGAATATCTTTTAAGATAATAACTTTTAAATAAGAACTTTTAAATAACTTTTAATCTAAATAAGAAATAATTTTTAAGGATCATGAGAACCTAGTCGAAAATGGGCGTCTACTTTTGGGCATCTCTGTGTAAATAAATAAAATTATTTTTGTGTGTTCTATATTGCAATAATTTCTTCAAACCATTTTAGTAACGATAATAATATTAAAATATTAAAAATTTACTCGAATTATCTAAATAGTTAATAAAATTTATCGAATTTCTAATAGTCTTGGCTCCGCCGGTCTATGGTGACGTGTTAACATTCTTATCTTTGGCATAAGGTATTTCACAGAAATAACAATAATAAAAATAAATTGCTCTTAACACTTTTACGCAGACGAGACTCCGATGTCTCTTTTACATAGGTTTTATCTCATGCATATGTTTTATCATGTGCCCTCTTAAAGGAAAAAAATATTTTTAACTACAAAAAACAGTCTTATAGTTGCTAGAAAAATATCTGTTAGATTATCGGAATTACATTTGTACTAAAATATAAAATCCTAAAAAATAGTTTAAATAAATTATTTTTCTTTCGTGTTCAAAAATGTATTAATTATTGATTTTGTAAATTAAAGAAATTCCAACTGTGAATAACAGTTTCTCTTAGACCTAATAACTACAAATAAGAACTAATTTGAGAAATTAGTGTTTGAAAGTGAGTTATGATAGGAAGATTTTATTGAACGTAGGAAAAGACAGCGGTATTTCATGCAGTATTTCATAAGTATAAATTATTTGAATGCTAAATACAGTATTTTTCAATTATTTTGACCTAAATTTATACGAAATAGTGAAAAAAAGTGGGGGAAATATATTTATGGTAAATTCTGCATCAAAGGGTTGAGAAATTTCGAGATTTGCAGATACTTGTTTTTGGTAATTTTAACGAAATAAGTTTTAAAAAAAACTTATGGTTTAATATTGAATATTTAATTGAAAAGATTTGATGAAAATATTTCTGGCACTTATGAGAACCTTATAACCACGCTGTGATGTTTTTGTGGTACAACTGAATTAAAAAGAAGGCTGCTTACTTAAATTTCGATTCATATTAAGAACCCCATATTTTCACGAGGAAATAAATGAATTCATCAAATGATAGGTTTATTTTAAAAAAAGTGAGTTTTTTTCTTATCTGATCTTGTTACTTGAAATACTTTGTGATATAACTGATCAGCATATCTAAGGTTTAATATCTTCAACTATTAAGCCTGCTTCTTAGAACACAAGGAAAACAATTATCAGATAAAAAGTTATTCATGCTGAGCCGTTTTAAAATTAATATATATTTTCTTTTATGTTGCGAACTATGAACAAGGTAACGCTTAAATATTAAGCACACTTACTAGATATACCTGGACCAAGGGTAATATCGTGGACCAAGATTTGTCCATAATAAGAAAAGAAAGCCGATACTTGATTGGATGGAGCATCCGTATTTTCTAAGTTTATGCTGATGTTTCGTGCATTTGGCAAATCTTCTCCGGAAACTGATTTTCGCAATCCACTCACACCTATATTAAATATATAATTACTATTACTACTACTACTACTACTAATAATAATAATAATAATGATAACTATAGAAGTAAAGATGAATGACCCTATAAAGAGGAATGTCTTGTATGTGGGGATTAGTTCTATTAATTAGTTCCATTAATTGCACTTTCCTCCCACTCACTCATTTATTGCAGAAATTATATATATTTACAATTATATGAAATAGTAACAATCATTATAAGAAGCATTATGGGTCTGCCATCAAGAGTTGCCTGGGCAAAGTGAGTGTAAAGCCAACCGGCAAACCTATTTCTAAGATTCATCGGAAGAAGGTTAAGAAAGCCGAAGAGAAATTGAAACGGAGAATCTAGGGGAAGTGGATATAGACACCGCATTTGACGTAGAACAGAGATGAGTAGATAATCTTAATTTATTTAACTCTGTTTTTCGAAACTCTGTCTCCAGGGAAAATAAATAAGTCATTGTTTAAGTGCCTTAAACCTAAAGCAATGCGATAATTTTAAACTCCATATATAATCTTGCTGTGAAGAATTATGGGCTTTAGAATGAACAACTAACTTAAATATTTTAAATTTTTCTAAAAATCGCCAGCCAATTTGGCGAAATTTTTCCACCTAGATGAAAATTATCTAAATCACTGCCCTTATTTTCAGTTTTTGCAAATTTTTATAAGCCCAGCTAATGCAGGATTGGAGTAGGTTTTTAAATCTTAAAATATTAGAAAACAACATTTTCATTTTCAGAAATTGTGGCTTTTCTCTATATTTACGTTTTGCGCTATTTTCAAAATAAGCGTTGACAGCTCTGGCTTTAGATAGGTTAAACTTGACTTCACAGTCATGAGTAACAATACTAAGAGTTGCAAACTCAAACCATATTCAAAAATAGCATACAATTCACAAAAAAGCATCATTTCATATTACGACGGATCCTTCGAAAAACAGCCTTAAAATGCTTTCTACCATAGTCAGTCAAAAAATGGAATGGTATGCCAGTTTCGAATGGAGAACGCTCATATTTCGCGTACTTTTATTTTCTCCACCTCTAATGAAGTGAACTTTTCCACTACGTTTTCCCTCCACCAACTTGCCATAACAGAATAATAACAACCATTATAAGAGAGTCGTATTGGCTCTGGAGCGTCTGCCTTTAAATGTGGTTCGAATTCCATCGATGGCTGGCAGATACGAATTCCGCATCCAGCTTGCACCGACCACAGTGCTGACTTAAAATATCCTCAGTGGTAAACGAATAATGAGGCTAACTGAGTCGTCAGGCTCACCATTGGGGGTTTTGTGGTTTTCCTCTCCATGCAACGCAAATGCTGGTTAGTTTCATCGAAAAGTTTTTCACGAAGGCAAAATATCTCCCAATATTTGGAATGGGTTCAAAATTACAAATTACAAGGCTACGGAGTTACATTAGTAGTCGTAACCCCTCCCCCCCAACAAAAAAAGGGTCGGCAGCTTAACGAAGGTTATAAAATAAAGTAAAACTATTATAAGAAACTAGTGGCCTGCGCCGCTTGCTCGCTGACGCTCGCTAACCCCCGAAAATTGCTACGCAATCTTATATGGTTTGCTTCGCAAACCAAGTTCGCTTCGCTCGCTATTAACTTAGGTACATTGCAAATGCACAAAATTCTAAGAATTCAAAACAATCATTCAAATCCATATAAAAACTTTAAAAAAAAAATTATAGCTTTATAGTAAATACAAAGTCATTAAAATAAATTTGAATTCAAATAAATGACATGTAATTCGTTAAACCTATTAGAAATGTGCTATAGTATAAAATCTTAAAGCGTAACAGCACGACTGAGACTCATTTTTCAATGAATAACTAATAACAATAATAAAACAAATAAATTCGTGATATAAATCAAAAATCGTAATGTAAAATCGATTCGTGAAAAAACGCTTTTGACAAAATACTAAAATAGAGATCTATCGACAAAGACTACTCACTTCTGCCTAGCTTAATAGTATGAGATTGCCGCAGCTGATAGGGTGAATTTCGGAAGAGATCACATTTGGTGAGAATGATCTCACTGGTTATTTCAGTTTCCGTTTTTAAAAGCGCTATATGGTGAGCTACCTCAGCTAGATTTGGCATGTGACATTTTTAGCTGCAATCATTGGTCGATTTTCTAGCGTTGCCATTCGGGGAGTTGTAATGAGGCTTTTTTTGTCGCCGTGTAAGAGAAATATATTTATAAGAAATAGAAATTATCATAATGTATTTACCATTATACGAAGCAGAAACAAATCTATCAGAAGTTGAATCAGCGCTACCCCAGTGTGGACTTTTCAGATTGTTGCAAGTTCCATCTATAGTTCTGTATTTGGCTGTGCTGTTGCATTTTGGAATAGTGTGGAATTGGTTGCATTTCTGCAACACATCTTGCACCTCTTGGGATTCGTTGAGTTTTTTCAAAATTTCGACTGTTTCATTTTGTGAAACTCGATATCTGGAAAAAGGAATTTTATGTTTTAACATTTTATTCGTATTGGGATACCTGCAAGTAGTGAAGATTGGTTATTTAAACGTGGCATTTATTCACATTAGCAGCCATTTTCCATTCTATTTCGAGTTAGCCAAGCAGTTACAAATAAAAACTAAACATTTTAGAATTATTGGTAGTTCCTAAAAAAAACTCAATTCAGTGGAGCGACAGCCCATAGAGGGCCAAGGCTTACTGTGCCCATCTCAGTTTTCTTGACCTTGGGCTCTAGGGTGCAGGAGCAGATGTTCCAGTTAGGTGGTCAGTCGAACGCGAAACCCCCAGTGTTCAGTTTCCCAGTGTTTTCATGGTACTCATTTATCGACCCACTGCAGAAAAGAAAGGCTGAGTCAACATTGCCCGGCCAGACGATCGAACCCAGGACCTGTGGCACCGGAGCACGAAGTGCTACCACTCAGCCACCGGGCATCTTTTGATAATTCCACAAATATATAAAAAGTTTCACCACGAGTTGGAACAAAGGGGTGTATCATAAGAACTTTTAAATCATTCAGTCGTGCATAAAATGATAGTAAATCACATTACAAAAGAATGAAAAATCTTTTAAAATACTTTTCCAAAAAGGATTCGACAATTGGTCGTCCTGAAAATTTCAAACATGTGTTATTTATTTCTTTACATCAGAGTTGCCAAAGTTGACTAAAATTGCGATAAGTAATGATTAAAAAAATTTAAAATTTTGAAAAATAATTTCAATATAATTATTGCATTCTTCAAGAATGTTTACAATAATGCAGATTTCAAAACTTTTTTTTAAAAAAAAGGAAAGAAAAAAGAGAACAGAAGGAAAAAGAAAGAGATTTTCCCTCCTCAATTTAGTTTATCCTAGTTTAGAATGGATAAATTAGGTACCTAGTAGGTAAACATGATACCACTTCAAAAAAAGTTCAAGCACTATCTTTCAATTTGCTTGGTCAACCCTTTTGCCATGACTTCGACCAATACATTTGCTGCTAAAAAAAGAGCTTATAGAGTTGAAAGCATAGAATTAAATATAGAAGCGTTTTCATATTTTTGTCCAATTCCTGTACTTACAAACCAGATTTCTCAGCAATATCTTCTAATTGTAATTGCAGAAATACATATTGCTCCAATTTTGGTTCCACAGTCCCTATAAAGTTTTGCACGAACAAGGCAGGACCTAAATTCTTGAAATCTAAAAGAACAAAAAGTAATTAGTTTCATAACTTAAAAATATATCGAGCAATGTTCTTAAGAATATCATTTAACCACATGTAATTTCAAATGTTATAATGCTTTTATTTATGTAATAATTTCTTACAATTGAAATAGATACATTTAAAGATAATCAAATGATATAAACCAAATAAAATGGTTAGTTCAACGAAGAAAATTATGTGGAAAATCCTGTATTTTCACTGTAACCACTTCCCTGGATATCCCGAATTTTCTCGGGTGGGTATATATTGCAATTAATTGATATCCCGAGAATATTCGGGCTTCGCGGAAATTGTCGCTATGATTTGTTTATCTCGTTTTTACTCGGCGAATGGAATTATACTACTTAACCTTTTCGGGACGGACGAGTCCTAAATGTAGTCGTGCAGAATCAGAATCAGGATAGAAAAAAATAAAAAGCGGTGGCTTAAGTTTGAGCAAAGGTAATTTGACAGACTTATTTTTGCGTTCACTTTAAATCGAACACATCAAATGCTAGTATATCAAAAGTGTAACTATAAAATTTTTTAATTTGAACTAAGTAATGATGAATTAAATATAGCAAACTATTATTACCTACCCACAAATAAACTGCTATAAAATAGTTTGACTGCCAGTTTTATCTTTTTTTACCCTGATTATCAACAACTTGAGAATGCATATATGACTTGCCCGTCTCGAAGAGATTAAGATAGCATTTTGAAAAAAGTTTGAGTTGTGAACTTTCGCATTCACTGTGCGAAAAATTTAATCTATTCATTTGCGTGAGTATATTGTGCAATTTTTCGTTAGAATAATATCTTCGACCGTAAATTGTACATTATCAAAATTAAGAAATAGCTCTTAGAGCTTCTTGTTGCTTAGAGAATTAGTGGTAGCTAAAAAAATGAACAGGTGTTTAAAAGTAAATAATTTTACACTTCAGAGTTTCCACTAACCTTGAAGAGTTTTATAGTGGTAGAAAATTTATGTTTAAGATAGCAGGCTTTCTTTGAAGATTTATGTTAGCTATTTAGGAGCCTGCTAGAATAAATACATTTTTTACTTGTATATTTGAAATATAATATATAGTGAAAGTTACAAGTAAAATATATATGATAGAGATTCATCTCCTTCTTATAACCACCATTTAAAATCTTAAAGATCCGTGAATATTTTTAAAAAGAGTGTACTTAGTCAGGTTACGCTGTTTTTAAAAAGGTTAAAACTTATATATTGACTTCTTTCAGTTTTTCTTATAGTTAAAATGTAGAAAATCACGATGAATTTTGTACTTTTTTTTGATTAAAAAAAATGTTAAAGGAAGTTGTTTAGGATAAATTGCTCTTGATTATTATTATCCCTTTTATTAGTTAATTAATGGAAGCAGTCAGAAAAAAATCAGTTTACAGAAATTTCAAAACTTTTGAAAGGAAAGGATTAAAGCTTCCCCGTGGTTCAATGTGTTTAAAACTTATAACTATATAAGCTTTTAAGGGAAACCATTAGAAGTCCCTTAAATATCTTGCCGTGAAAAGATGTGGTACGCTAACCATTGAATAGATTATATGATCCAGTCACAATTCCTATTGCTGTTTCTTTTGCTCAAGTATCTGCATGCACGCTCTTGTCCTGTAGTCTATAAAATGCAGAATTTGACAGAAGTAATTAAACTTCTAACATCTATATTTTCAAATGCCTAGTTTTTCTGCAATCAGTAGGTCTTGTAATTAATGTATTTCTCACAATGCGTTGAGCAATTGCCAACATCCAGTGTAAATAGAGAGTAATAGAAGATAAACTGTTTTTACCTAAGAAATTTTTTTTTTTGATGGTTCATCAAAAATCATCTTACTTCTTCTTGATGGTACCATCAAGACTGACCATCACTTCATATTAGAATTTGAACACCTTTATGTTGGACCAACATGAGCAAAAACAGCATGGTTGGATGGTTTTGTTTGAATTCCACTAATTTGAATTTCGTACTAATTCATTTAAGAGCGTAAAAATCCGCAAACTGTTATTTTATATCCGTCGTTGAACAGCTGATTCAATTTCGGGCTTAGGACTTCCAATGTTTAGCTTCGTAGCCTTGTAATTTTGAACCAATCCAGAAGACAAGGAAACTTCAGGATCAGTACCGCCAGAGGTATTGATTTGTTATGGGGACATGGAGGATTTTGCGACTCGACAGATTTAACGTCCATCAGTCACCATTTACTACACGGGGAGTCCTCTGTCGGCGGGGATTGAATCCTCGAACTCTTGGACATAGGCCCAGTGCCTTACCAACCAGGTTATCCCCGCCCCGCAAACTATTATTCGGTGATCGTACGAGAACCGGTATTTTTATCATGATATGGCCGTTGACGTCAATAATAGTTTGCATTGATGTATGCCAATGCAGGATCTTTCTTGGGGAAATTCGCATCATATTATACTCCAAGAATAATCAAATATTGTAAGGAAACGAGAATGGACATTTTCTACAGATATGAAGAGATTTTAGGTAATATCATTGTTTCAAAGATGAATCATCCGTTACATTCAAATGCATGCTAATAACAATTTTTGCATTTTTTAGAAAATCTATCTGCATGCCTGATGCTGGCAGACCTTCTGCAAGTTGTTGGTCTCCGTAGAAAACTTGTAAGTTTCTATCTTATCCTGTTTTCAGTTTTTATTCATTTGTAATTTTTGGTATTAATACTATTTTGGTATTTGATTAAGTATTTATCACGCTAAACGAATCATTTTTCTTTCGTACAGCATAACATTTCTTACAACTTTTCACCAAATTTCAATTTTTGAGGCAAACATGAAATGAAGAATTATTATTTAATTAAAAGTACAATTTCTAATTAAAGCATTTTAAAATACAAGGGAATTATAATTATAGATTAAAAGTAAAAAAGGGAAATAGTATCAATCTGAGTATTCATCTATACTCCTTTTTGTAAATATTATAAAATTTGTCATGTTAGGATAAAGTTTTTTTTAAATCATTTTATGTCATTTATTAAAAATAATTTTTCTTCTTTTATTCCAGTTTTCAAATGATAATCTGATTCAGAAATTCCCTTCAGAATGTGTCATCAGATTCCCTGGTGTAAGCATAATTATCAGATTGTCCTATTAATTTGATAAAAGTGAGGGGGGGGAACTGCATAGCGCAACTTCTCTAGGTTTCTAATAGTAAAATTTTTTTTAATATTAATAGCACAATTTTTATTATTCGCAAAACATAAAAATGATATGTTTTGTTACTGATGAAGGATTACCATTTCTCTTAAATCATGTGTAACTTATAATCGCATCAACAGATATTACTTTTTTTAAAAATTTATTTTCGATATCTGAAAAAGCCTTTAGATTCATGGGGAATTAAGTAAAAATAATCTGAATGTTAATAACAATAACTTTAAAATGATTAGTATGATAAATAAAATTTTGTCAAATAAAAGAAGACTCTCTTTTTCATTCAATTGAAAATAAATATAGAATATATTCAAAACCGACTATTTTTTATTAGTTGCCAAATATGATTCACTATAAAATTAAGAAAAAATGATTAATTTTTCCATGCATGCGCATTATAAAAGAACTACTTTAATTACTTACATTTTGCCCAGTTTTCAACAATTTTTTTTTCTCCAAATTTCAAAGCTAAAGTTTTGTAATTAATTTTAAATTGTTCTAAAAATGTTGGTTAATTTTATTCAATATTTTTAAAACTATAGCTAAGAAACGCAGGACAGAAAAACTGTTTCTTTATAAAAATCTCCATAAATATTTAAGCTGGGATTACCAAATTTTTTGTGATTATTGCATATAATAAGCAAAATAGTTATTGCAAATTTCAAGTTTATTAATACATTTTTTGAAATAGGGTGTTCATAAACGCTTTTAAGTTTATAATCTATTGTCGATCCCCCAAACCTTCATTGATAAATATGAGAAATCGCGTAACCTAAACACATTTATAGTTATAAAATGATTTTATAAATGATTTTTGATAAAGATCAAAACATGCGTTAGTATACAAGTGTTTCCATTATTTTGTCCAAACCCCTGTACTTATCCAAACAATGTATTAAAATAATAAATATTTATATTTAAACATGTTCTAAACCTTTATTGTTGAATTAATTTTAGTTTTCTTTGTGATACATTTATATGAAATACATTGTGAATTTATTTAAACCAAATTGGATATATTGAATTAGAAATTGTATTTATTAAACCAGAAACTTTTTATGTTTCGAAAGTAATTTGATAATTCTTGAAATTGAGCATAATGTATTCTATGACTCCTTCGTTTTATAATGCTTTTTTTAGTTATGTAGCCTAAATAATGCTGAATTTCATTTAAAATGAAATAAAAACCGAAATCAAGGTTATATTCTTTTTATATTTTTCTTTCCTTTTATCTTTTTTTCCTTGTTTTTTTTAATGAGTCAAATTTTTTGAAATGTGTATATTCCTATAGACGATTTTAATCTTCTTTCTTATCTCAGTGACGATGGGGAAACTCTCAGTGAGTCACTAGCTCAGTGAATTAAACAAAAATAAATAAATAAATAATAGTGTGTTTTGCGTACTAAAATGAAAGGAGTGAATAATGTTATCTACGTAAAATGTATTTTTCTTACTTATTGTCTTGTTTGATTGTTCAATTTTAATAAAATCATGATTTTTAATTTATAATTTATTTTTTGAATAAAAAAAAATGTGCTATAACAGTCCTTTTCTAGAAATCTACAAAAATGTTCAAGATTTTTTTAAGTAATTTGAATTTTTAACTGAAAAACTTTGCATTTTATTAGTATGAAAAAAGGAAAAGTCATTAATTTGAAGTTTATTAGTAAAAGAAAGCACCAAAATTTGTATTTATGTTTTAAAAATTGCCTAGATGATGTATGAATGTTTTTTTCTCCAGGAAAATGTGAATTTTGATGACTATAGCGAAACAAAATGAACTGCCCACAGTCGTCCCTCATCTGTGAAAGGGACAAAAAAACTAAGAATCTAAAATTCTTAGTTTTCAGTTAATCACTACGCAATATTCAATACAAATATACAAAAAAACACAATATAATACAAAGTTATATCAGTTTTTGTGCAAGGTAATAACAGTAAGTAGACAAGTGATTTTAAGTCTATAAATGCGTTTATCAAAAAACTAGGTTTTTTCTTATTTTGCATCTTAAACAAGACATCTCATATTGCTTTTAAAATAATTGTCATGAGTGTTTATGATTATAGTTCACATGTTTTGAACTAGGGACTAAGAGAGAAAAAGAAACTTTCAATTTTATGCATGTTTTTTCCCGAAGAGAAGAGCGGAAATTTTTAAAAAGTTGCTTTTTTAACTATATTGATCCCCAACTCAGTAGCATATGCCCTTGGTTTTAAGAAAATAGCTCAAAACATAGTTGATAGCCTTCTAAATAAATTTCTCAAAGGAATTTTTGTTTTGGGTGATAGAATGTTTCTTACAGTGTTTAGTGTATATGCAAAAAAATGCCTTATTTTTATCTAAAAGTGGCTACTTGAAAATAATAATAAATAATAACTTTTTTTTTCTTGTTTCATGAGTTTGTGTACATTATAAAACATATAAACTAGTTTTTCTTAAACCTTTTATATTAATATTTAAAGAAAAAGTTGTCGAAACTAGTCGGATACCTTAAATATGATCAAAATAATTTACAGTTTATTTTGATTGCTTTTTTTAGTTAGCTTTTTTGGACACAGCTACTAATTTTATTTATGAGCATGGAGTACCCCCAAAAGATGCTACAATTGGGGTTCCAAAGCCGAAAAGAATTGGGAACCGTTGCCCTAAGTTAATATAACTCAGAGTTTGAAAATTAATACCTACCTTTATCTTCCTTGGTTGGGTTGTCTTTCAATCTTTTCTTTGTACATTTATCCAGGGGCTTTTCTTTGTAGAAAAAAGACGAACATCCAGCTGTCACAGTTATTAGAAAAAAAGCGAGGTACAGACTAAAAGAAAAATGAAAAAAGTACAATTTCATCGATTATAACCAAAAAATTGATCAAATTTTATGTCGAAATTTTATGAACCTGGCCCATTTAAACTTGGGAATAAAGATTGTGAAACATATCAGGATGTAATAAATAAGAAGTAATTTTACCTGTTAAAAATATATCATACACCATTAGTCTTTTATCATACAACTGTTGTTGTTGTTTCTAATGCCACTTGCCGAATACACCAGCAAGCCTTCTTGATGAAACCAAGCGAATGAAAGGAAGAGGGTGCGTTTCTTGTTTTTCAGTGACCTTATTTATGGAGACAAATATGATTTTTACAGTAATGGATACGAGTAGTTCGAAGCACGATAAAGGCTCCTGTCAACATTAGAACATTCTACGAGCCGTACGAACGGAATCAGCGAAAAACGAAATGGAATTCGCTGATTGGATAAGCGTGAGTTATTGTATTAAATTTAGCTATCAGTGATATTTGGTAGCTTATAGCTCTATTTGGTCAAAAAAGTTTACTGTGCGTACTTTAACACTAGGTTTATGGGACGCGTCACTTTGAAGCTTTTCGAATTTTATAAGGAAAATTACAAAACACGTTTGCATTCTTATTTTATCTCTTGTAATGACTTTTATCCATTGATCGAGGTAAATACATATTGAAGTCTATTTTCTTCAAAAGCGTTGAAATATTGAAATTCTCTATGTGGTATACCTATTTCTACGGATATGCGTTAATTTGACGAGATCGTAATTTAGACAAAATTTTGAATAAACATACGAACATTACATTAATGATAAACAGGAATGTACCGACAATGCTTCGATCCGTTATCCGATATCGTTATCTCAAATGAAATAAGCGATAAACAGCTGTTGCCAATAAGCAATAATGGAAAGAACAAACGCAGAATGTCAATTGATGTCAGAGTGTCAGATTTTGAAGGTTTCAGTTGCTTAGTTCGAGTATTGAAAAATAAAATACTGGAATAATGTTTTAAATATTATAGGTAATATGTATTAATTAAAAATTTAAAAAAAAAGCTATGTGCAAAAAAGCAAAGTTTATGGATAAAAGGATAATTGGAAATTCATTTAGGGGAATAGTAGAAAATCGCCATACTCAGATTAAGCTCAATTAATTCCGGTAATATGTACTGCTGGATTTATGGTAATTGATGCAATTTTAATAAGAATTCTATAACGGGTTTGCCATAGTTTCAGAGCATATTTTTTCCAATGGTAGCAAAGATAGTGCATCAATATTTTCATGAATTAGACCTAAAAGAACTTTTTCCGCCACTTCTTATAAATATTATTTTAAGCAGTAAATTAAATGTCGGTAGATAAATAGTTAAGCTCCTACGTCCTTATCAAGATTTCTTAAGAATTTTATTTGTTTTTACTTTTGTTTGCTGCTATTGATACGTGTATTTTCACACAAAATTCAAATGCTGAAGGGTTGTACAATAAGCGCTAAATACATTAATGCAAATTTAAAGGTATTTTATTTTATACCCGTCGTTTACAGCAGACCCGATTTCGGGTTTATAACAACTAATGTTCTACTCCGTATCCTTGTAATTTTGAACCCAATTCAGAAGACAAGGGAATTCCTGGATCAAATATTGGGAGAAATTTGCTTATCTGGAGGACTTTTTGATGGAACTATCCCGCATTTGCTTTGCATAGAGAGGAAATCTTCCCACGGTTAGCCCGACTGCAAGACTACTCTAACTTATGATCCATCTACCAAAGAGGGTATTCTACTTCAGCACTGTGGTCTGTTCGAACAGTGTGAGGAATTTGTATCGACCAGTCCTCGAACCCGGATCACCTCATTGGAAGGCGAACGCTCCCCTGAACCATCATGACTTGAGGTATAACGTATTATATCAATATATTTGGTAATTATTAAAACTTCACCAATACTAAACAGTTTTAATACCTAATGCTGGGTAAATAATTGTCTGGCGCCGCCTAGAAAGGGATATATGCCGGAGAATATTATCTTATAGGGGAAAATTTTGATTATCAATTGGTTGCTGCGAGCATTATCCTCTCGCCAAATGATGCGAACTGCAGTTAATCTCTATTATGCGATGAACTACAAAAAACGCGTTTTTCTTAATATAATAAACTATAAAGAAACCAGGAAGGGTAACAAATAATAATGAATAAAAAAGGATATTATTTTTGCTTTATTAATTGAAGAGCGTAGTTGAAAAACCAGGTAAGTGACTTTTTCAGAGAGTCTATTATGGGGTTAAAAAAAGTAGTCTCCGAAATAATTTATTATTGATTTAATAGAAAGGATTAATGACTCTGTGTCTTATTTTATTTACCACTGCCTTATTTTTAAATAAAAATGGTGCAAGCATCAGGTGAATAGGAAGGATTAATAATTCTGTGTCTTATTTTATTTACCACTGCCTTGTTTTTAAATGAAAATGGTACAAGCATACTAAAAACTAATGTTGATAGGTTGTGCTATGATTAACGTGAAATCAAAAACGATTCTGTTACATTTACCATACTCATATTGAGGCCATCACTTTGCTATTTTCTCTGATTCATAAATTTCTCTAAGAATGTCACTTACATGGTTCTTCCACTAAGCCCTTCAATTGTGTCATAATATGCTTTTCATTTTGGTGCATAATATCGTAGTATTGCTCACTACCAGGACTGGGCGATATTAGAAATTATATATCGTGATATATCGTCAGTTTTGCATCGCGATATAGTATTTTTGAATTTCATTTACTTTAAGGTACAGAAAGTCAGATTTCTATCAAGACTTCATACACATATTGATTTAAATCAATTTATAAATTTGAAAATATATATGTTTTGCTAAAGAAAGATATTAAATAAATTGACTAAGATGTACAAATCTTACTTAAAATATTTATTGAAAAAATGTGTGTAGATACAGAANATATATAATTTTAGAAAATTAATGATTTTTGGAAATTAAGTTTTATTTAAGAAATAAAGAAATAAAATAGAAAAGAGAAGGGAACATGAATTACCTTGCACATAATTTTAGCCACAGATTTGAACGAAATGAATTTGCACATGGTAAAAATTATATAAATTAACAAAGAAGTTTTTTAGTAAATTTATTTACAACAATAAACAATTAACTCAATGATTTTATATAGAATTTAATTCTTTTAGTTCGGTATCCATTGCTCTTCATCAGATTTTGAAAGAGTTTGTCTATTTGTTTTTGTTTTTTTGGATAAATAAATATTACTACATATTATTTTAAATCTATTCATTTGATTAAAAATGGTATTTAAATAGATGTTCTCTTAGAAACATTAGAATTCCAAGTAATTAGTTTACTTAGATTAAAACTAAAATCATTTCTTTTATCGTATAAATCAACAAAGCAGACATTTTCTTCTTTTATAATACCCAAATCCAAAAAATTGAAATTAATATTATCATCATGATTACGAAGCAAAATTAATTCCTCGGTGTAAATATTATTTAATAAAATAGTATAATCTTGAAAATTAAAGATTATTAAGTTATCAATACATCTAAAAACAAATTTAATATTAAGAATATAATTTTTTTCATAATAATGCAAAAATAAGTTGGCTAAGAGAGATGAAAAATTAGATCCTTGTGGTATGTCATCAATTTGAAGAAAAGTATCTTTTCCATTGTAAACATAATTATTAAAAAGACAAATACTAATAAGAATTTCCCAATAATCAAAATCGCAATTTAAGGATATTTTTAAAATCATAGTAATAATTCAAAAGGACATCTTTTAGTTTAGTAAAGGGAATGCTATTGAAAAGATCCTGGAAATCAAAAGTCGCAATGGAATTAATTTTATTATGTTTAATAAATTCTAAAATCGGTTGATTATTATTGATAATTCAAGAAAAACTTTCTTTGATAATATTGTTAAAAATTTTATTTAATTAGTTTGAGAAAAAGGTGCCAGGTTTAGTTAGGTAAGCATTAGACCTGCAAGTGATTGTTCTAAATTTTATAGGAATTTTATGAAATTTAGGACTGAAAATTAAGTAAGGATATTGCATCTTACTAATTTTAATTTTTAACCTCTTATATAAAGCTAAAAGTTTTTTAATGACAATATTATTATTTAAATTACTCAGTTAAAAAATTTTATTATTTTTTAAAACTCCGTATTTAAAAGTTCAACACAGAATTTTTTACAGAAGATTGCATAATTATTGTCAGCTTTGTCTATGGGGGTAATTATAAAAATTTTTGTACTTGCTTAATTTATTGAATAATTTTAGAAAAAATTGTTGAATTGTAACTGCTATTTGAATTATCATTATTATTGAAAATAAAGTTTTTAAAATAATAATAAGCACCTCATTTCTCATTTTTTCGTTCTGTTAGCATACCTAAAGGTAAAGTGAATCTATTTGATATCTTTGAACAAAAACTATTGAGAATATTAAGAAAGAATTTTAGAATTTTACTAAGTGATATTTGGTAAATGGGTCTAAGTTTTCTATAATATTTAAATTACCTCTAATAATATATTTATGATGTTTATCAACGAAATCAAAATATTTCGCTTCTTCACAGTGACATTCGTAATCGGGTACATTAATCCTCCCTAAATTTTTGCTTATATCATTATAATTAAATATAGTTCTACCAAGAGATTTATTATGATTAAAACTTTTAATTATGTCAAAATCTTTTAATGGAAATAAATTTTTAAAATTTTCAAAAATATTATGAAATTTGATCTTATCGAAAATAGGGTTTTGAAAGTTAGTAACAAAATATGAATTATCTAAATTTTTCCTTTAATTTGAGGAAATTTTACTTATTTTAGCTTTACCAATATCGAAACAAAGAATTTTGAAGTGTAAATGAATAAAAGAAAAGTTAATAATAAGATTTTGAAGCTTATGTACATCATTATTCTTAAGGGAGAAAACAAAATCTTTAATTGATTTAATATTATACGAGGGTTGCTATTTATATT